GAACAGGAAGGGGAGCAGATTGGAGAGTCCAGCTGGGATCCCAGACTTGAAGGTATAGTGTGCTAATCTGTGTAGTCCTGTTATTTTCTCCAGACCGCCTTTACTTGGGCATGGCAGATTTAGCCAGGGTTGGTTTTTTTTTGTTTGTTTGTTTTTGTCAGGGGGCTTAGATGAAGGAATGAGGCAAAATAGTGAGGACTGGCAAAAGAGTGGTGAAAGTGACAGAAGGCAGGGTCTGTGGAGGAGGAAGCAGAGATGGGAGGGATGAATAGGCAGGAAGAAAGATGAGGGGTCAGTGGCTTGAAGGTCTCCATGAAATTCAAGAACAGATCCAGTAGGAGGGCTTGAATACAAGAGCTTGGAATGGGGGCAGGAAGCTGGGCTCAGGGGGTGCGATGTCTGAGTGGGTTATCTCAGAGGGGGAGGAGTTGTGAAGGTCATGAGGTCCCAGGTGTGGGAGTGGCAGCTGGGATGGGAAGGAGAAGAAGGTCACTGGATTAGAGTGCTACATACACAATTAAGATATTTCTGGTATTGCATTTAAAAGGAAAAAGAAATGAGTGAAATTAATTTTAATATTCAACCCAATCTTCCCAAAATATTATCATTCCAACACGTGTTCTCTGCCTTCTATCTTGTGTCTTTTTCTCTACTTTCGGAGAGATTTTTGTGAACTTTATTTTTTAATGTTTCTTTTGATTTTTAAATTTTCTATCTTTTTTTTTTTTTAAGATTTTATTGGGGAAGTGGGGAAGGGGACAGTCTTGGGGAATTGGGGAAGGGAACACTGTGTTTTTCCAGGACCCATCAGCTCCATGTCAAGTTGTTATCCTTCAATCTTAGTTGTGGAGGGCGCAGCTCAGCTCCAAGTCCAGTTGCCACTTTCAATCTAGTTGTGGGGCGGGGGTGAAATCTAGTTGCACCATCCCATGCAGGAGTCAAACAAGCACCCTTGTTGTTAAGAGCATGTGCTCTTACCAGCTGAGCCATCCGGCTGCCCGTTGGCAGCTCAGCAGCAGCTCAGCTTGGGCACAGCTCACTGGCCCATGTGGGAATCAAACCAGCAACTCTGCTGCTCAGAGCTTGCGCTCTAACCATGTGAGCCACCTGGCCGGCCCCCTCTGCTATCATTTTTAACCTCCAAGAGCTCTTTTGGCATCTTGTTTTTGTTTTGTGGGTGCTCTTTTGTTTCTTTTATCTCTCTGAGGGTGTTAGTGGCAGTTTTCTTATTTGGAATGGGCAACCTTCTTTTTGTTCCTCTCTAGATGCTTTTTTTCTGTTTGTTTGTTTGTTTGTTTAGACTCCCTTCTGTGCTAGGAAAGACAGAGACCACTGATCCTTGGTTACCTGTCCATATTTAAGGGACAGACCTGGAAGGCTGATTGGAAGTTCTGTTGAGCAGGTAGTGGGGTTTCTCAACTGTAGGCTTATCCCAAGGTCATCATCCTTGCCACTTTTCCTCTTAGGCTGGTTATGGGTCACAGAAAGCAATCTTTCAAACCTCATCCTGGAGTGTGTAGGTCCAGCTGCCAGAGTGCTGGTTTCTAGGTCGGAAAAGGAGGCTGGAGGTCTTAACTTTCAGTGTACACATGGTCATTTAACACCCCTTTCTCTCAGTACATTACCCTCTTTTCCAACTGGGCCTGGGGATCCCCATCCAAAGACCCTCTGTTTCTGTACTGCCTTCTCCAGACAAGAAGTCTTCAGACTTTTGTTGAGGTGAAGAGGGGACTTGCTTAACTGTGCAGAGTTGGGGAAGGGACATGGAGAGAGCTGCTTCCTAAACTTTCACTTGGTCTTTCTGTTTTAGTTCCTCCATTACCCGCTTCCTTGATGCCTGAAGCCACCAGCCTGGTCCTTTAGAGAACCCTATAGCATAAACCGAGTGGCTTCTTCTCTGTCTCCATTACTAGCTTAGGATTCCAATTCTGCTCCTTATCCATCTGCTTTTCAGCTTCCAAAATTATTCTGTTGTTGTCTCCTGGTATTTGTGGGTTTATGCCTTAAACAACAAAAAATTCCTTTACTGTTGTTTTAGTGTTTTGGGGAGGGGAGCAAAAGCCCATGCATTCAGTCAGCCTTCTTACCTGGAGGTTCTGATTCATTTCTTGTCTTTAAATGCCTCAGTGTTGCCTAGCCCTGTGCCCCGTCAGTCTGTTGTTGGTTCTAGTTTATGCCCTTGAGCAGTAACCTCAGCTGCTTTTCTTTTCTTTCTCCCCAAGGTCCCTGCTGATTCTTTTTGTGGAGATTGACTACTGGGAGCGGCTGCTCTTTGAGACCCCCCATTACGTGGTGAATGTAGCTGAACGGGCAGAGGACCTGCGCATTCTTCGTGAAAATCTGCTACTTGTTGCTCGAGACTACAATAGGTAGGGCTCCAGTTCTCATGGCAGCCCTTCTATATGTTATTTTATGCCTCCTCTTTGTCTTATCTGCTCCACAAGGTTGTCCGTTTCATACAGTATCCATCCTTTTTTTTGTCCACTTAAAAAAAAAAAAGATTTCCCATACTCTCTCTTATGGGATTTTCTTGTCCCTTGCAGTTTTGTCTTCTAGCTTTAGGGTAGAGAGCAAAAGCAACCAGGTCCCCTCCCACCCCATAGGGCAGTTGGACCATAGATATTATAAGCCTGAGTCACTTCTCTAGAAATGAAACTGGGTGGCATTAGGATTATGGGCACAGAATAACATCAGATTCATTGAACCAAGGCCATGCTTGCACCCCTATCTTAACACCCTTGGTACTTATTTCTGGAGTGGGGCTTTGTTTTGGGTTGGATATCTTTCTCATCCCAGTTAAAGTCCAAAAAGGTGGGAACCAGCTGTCTTGTTTGGGTGTCTAGAACTGAACTGTCCAATATGGTAGCAACTGGCTGCCTGTGTCTATGTCTATTTTAATTAATTAATTGAAATTAAATAAATTTTAAAACTTCAGTTACTCATTTACACAGACTACATTCCAAATGCTCCATGGTCACATGTGGCTAGCGGCGACTGTATTGGACAGGGCAGCACAAACTGTAGAGCATTCCCATCATTGCAGAAAGTTTTATTGGAAAGTACTAGTCTAGAATCATGAACTTTCAGATTTTCCACCAAGTTTCCTGGTGTGGAGGAGAGGTCTTCAGAGCTTGTTTCCATCGGCTACCAGTGTGCTCTTATACACAGGCTTATTGCCATGCTGTCCCCAGATGAGCAGGCCCTGTTCAAAGAGCGTATCCGATTCCTGGATAAGAAGATCCACCCTGGGCTCAAGAAACTGCACTGGGCTTTGAAGGGGGCCAGCGTTTTCTTCATCACAGAGTGCCGCATACATGCCAGCAAGGTGGGACATGGTCATTAGACCCTAAAGGCTGACTGAAAGGTTGATGCATGGGAAATTAATACCTGAGTCTTGGATAGTGGTGGAGAGACCAGGGAGTAGTGTGAAAGAAACTAAGTGTGCTTGGGGAAGGACTTTGTTTTAATGTCAATAACTCTAGCTAGAGGACAGGTGGGAAGATAGAATTAGGCCCAGAGGGTCTCTCCCCAAGCTGAAACACATCCCCCCGCCATGGGTGGGGTCTGACTTCAGGTGCAGACAATTGTGAATGAGTTCAAGGCATCCACTCTGACCATTGGCTGGCGAGCCCAAGAGATATCAGAAACGCTGTTGGTACACATTAGTGGCAAACGGGTGTACAGGGACCTGGAATTTGAGGAGGACCAAAGGGAGCATCGGGCAGCTGTGCAACAGAAATTGGTGAAGCTGCACCAGAATGTGGTGGCCATCATGACCAACTCCTATGAAATCTTCAAGAATGATGGCCCTGAGGTAGGGGTGCTATGGCCAGGGCTTTGAGTTTTGGGAAGTCCCCAGTCCCCCAGTCCCATCAGATCATTCTCTTGGTCTTTCCTTTTTCCCCCAGTGTGTGCTTCTCAAACATCCTGCTCTAGTCTTGGATTCACCTAACCTTCAGTCTTTCAAACCTTCTTCCTTCAGGACTCACTGTCCTGCCTTCCTATTTAACTAGGTTGTTTCTGTCCCTATTGGCTGGTTCTCATTTCTCAGGACCTGCTGTCTTCCTTGAGGAATTCTCTCCCCACCTTCTCTTCCCACCAGATTCAGCAGCAGTGGATGCTGTACACAATTCGGTTGGACCACATGATGGAGGATGCCCTGCGCCTGAACGTGAAGTGGTCACTGCTGGAACTGTCCAAAGCCATCAATGGGGATGGAAAAACCACCCCAAACCCACTATTCCAAGTTCTTGTAATTTTGCAGCATGACATGCAGGGAGGTGTGGCACAGGTGGGAACCACTTTGCCCCCAACACCCCAAAACTATCACACTTTATTTGCCAGTTTCCCTCAATCCTTAAACTTGGCCCTTGGCCTTGGCTTTATCCTATGGCCTCCAGGCCTGGTTCTGAAGTGTTCTACCTTATCAGTCCTGAGTCCTGTCTCTTCTATGGCCTGTGTGAAGGCTCTCTCCATGGTGTTCCCACAGGTGGAATTCTCACCCGCTCTGCAGACTTTAGCAAATATAGTCAATGACATTGGCAACCACCTTTTCTCCACCATCTCTGTCTTCCGCCACCTCCCTGAAATTCTCATTAAGCGCAAGTTTCAGCGTGACCCCATCTATATGATCGTTGGTGAGTGGGCAATGGGAGGGACACTTGGTGCAGGGGTGTGAGAGGCTTAGGAATGGGCGAAGCTAGGAGGAGAGACAAGGGCTTTTTCCAGACATACTGGGCCAGTCATCTCCATGACTGATGGAAAATACAGGTCAAGGGGCCAGATTGGGGAAGGGAGCAAAGGCTGAGATGGAGGTCGAGATTAGGTGACTAATACTCAAGGGATTTGGGATTTGGGCTGGGATATTAAGGACAAGTTTGGGACTGGGGCTGGGATATAAGACATCTATGTATCATCTATATATATATGAGACATCCAATTCCTCCAGATTTGTGTCATACTTTTACTTTCTGCCTCCTTTATTTTCTAATGCTCATGTTTCAGCCATATTTTTTTTGGAAGGTGGTACTGGAGTGAAAGATCTGGGGCAGTGACCAGGGGCCAGGCTAGAGCTTGGGTTGAGATGGAAGTTAGTAAGAAGCATTTTGGTGGGTTTTGAAGAACGAGATGAGGACATCAAGAAGATCCAGGCCCAGGTCAGCAGCGGTATGACCAACAATGCAAGCCTACTGCAGAACTACCTCAAGACCTGGGATATGTATCGGGAGATCTGGGAGATCAACAAGGACTCTTTTATTCGTCGCTATCAGCGCCTCAACCCCCCTGTCTCTTCTTTTGATGCTGACATTGCCCGGTAAGGAGAGCAGGTCTGTCTCTAAGAAGTATAGAATTGCAGGAGTTCCAGGCCTAGACTCAGGAAGGAGGGTTGGGGGTAGGTGGAGATGCAATAAATGTGTCCTCAACTATAGGAAATGAACAGGACCTAGGGCATTGGACCTTTGTTTCTCAGGGGTAGAGATCAGATAAGAGCTGGACAAGATTTAGGGGAAAAGCTGTTTTGGTGGGGTGCTGTTAGGAAGGAAGAAATGCTAGGGGTCAGAAAGATGAGAGAAGCACTTTCATTTTAAGAAGGTAGATTGAAATTAAGTTGAAGAAGAATCTTAAATTCTGAAGGCAGGCAAAGAACTCCCATCTCTTTATCCTCTAGTTATTTATTCATTTGTTCAATAAACACCACTGTCCTATGGGTCATGAGGAATAAAAAGAAGAAATGAACGAATGTTTTCCTCCTGTAATGTAGTAGGGGAGCTAAAAGTATTTTTAGAACAGCAGTGGCTGTAGCATGTTGAGAATGGTTGAAACCTCAGGTCCACCACTTTATAGCTGTGTAATTTTAGGCAGGTTACATATTGTTTTTTTTCCTTAGGCAGGTTACTTCCATTCTTTAGGCCTCGTCTCCTATGAAATAGATATTACACTACCTACTTTAAAAGGTTGTGGGATTATTAAATATATGTGACAGCACCTTGTAAACTCTAAAGTACTGTGCTAATGTACTTATTATTATTATACAAGCTTCAATGTGATGAATTTGTGATTAAGGTATGTAAAGTGCCAGGGAGTTCAATGGAAGGAGAGAGAATTTCCAGTCTAGGGACATTAGGAAAGGCTTCATGAAGGGAGTGATTTTTGGGCTGGGCTTTACAGAGTGGGTTAGATTTCAACAGGCGGAGATGGGCAGTGGGAGGGCATTTCAGGTAGAGAAAATAGCATAAGCAAAGGCATAAAGATGGGAACACATAAGCATGTTTACCAAATAGTAAATAGTCTGGAACAGGAAAGGAAGGATGCAAAGGGATTGATATGTAGCAGCCAACTTCATTCTCTCAGTGATCTCTTGAGGTAGGGTCTATTCCTATCACCATGTTACATATGAGGAAACTGAGGTGCCCAACAGTTAAATAACCTGCCTGAGGTCATAGAGCTGGTGAGCAGCAGTGTGAACTCAGCCCATATCTATGACACTCTAAAGCATTGAATGTCAGACTAAGGATTCTGACAGCTATCCTATAGGCAGTGGTTGGGAAAGTGAGATGATCACAGCCATATGCCTGGGGTAGACTAAAATGGCAGACACCTGGGCATAGGAGAATGCTTTAGAGCTGCTGCACAGGTCTGGGTGGTAGGAAATGAGAGCTTGAACTAGCATTGGGGCAGTAGGCACATCTGCAAAGAAAACAACATCCTAGTGGGATTATGGGCCCTTGCAGCTACACGGAGGTTGCTAATAATGTGCAGAAGGAGGAGACAGTCCTCAACATCCAGTTTGTGCTGCTGGACTGCTCGCATCTCAAGTTCTCACTGGTGCAGCACTGCAATGAGTGGCAGAACAAGTTTACGACTCTGCTCAAGGAGATGGCAGCCTGGCGCCTCCTGGAGCTGCACACCTACCTGAAGGAGAATGCGGAGAAGTATGGACACAGGTGGCAGGCATAGGTGTGGGGAGGGCAGGCCCTGCCCTGTCCACTTATCAGTGCTCTCTTTGCCTGCCTTCAGAATCAGCCGCCCTCCCCAGACGCTGGAGGAACTGGGGGTCAGTTTGCAACTCATGGATACCCTGCAGCATGACTTACCCAACCTGGAGACCCAGATCCCTCCCATACATGAGCAATTCGCCATTCTTGAGAAGTATGAGGTGCCAGTTCAGGACAGTGTGAGTTCCAGCAGTGTTTGGGCCACTGAGTTGGGCCCATGCCAGCAGTAGGTTGTGGGGGAAGCTAATTTTCCACATAGTAGACCTTGTGCTGTCAGGAGGGAGAGCAGAGAAGTGAGCGGGGAGGAAGACTCAAGATTCAAAAGCCTCTGAGAGCCCAAACTAGCTCAAATGACATTTCTGGTTAGTTTATGGATTTCTTTAGGCCCAGCAACTTACTCCTTAATTTCGTTGGGCCTCTTTGCATGCAGAACTTGGCCACAGACTTGGTCAGAGGATCAGAAAAGAGTCCCTAAAAGCACTGGGGAGAAGGACAGACCTCCTACTTGTGGGTCATCCTCCCCTCTTTGATGTCCCCAGGTACTGGAGATGCTAGACAGTCTCAATGGGGAGTGGGTTGTCTTCCAACAAACTCTGTTGGACAGTGAACAGATGCTGAAGAAACACAAGGAGAAATTCAAGACAGGCCTTATTCACTCAGCTGATGATTTCAAAAAGAAAGCACATAATCTTCTCGGAGAATTTGAAGCCAAAGGTACCCGTTTCTCAACTTCTCCCCCTTCTTTACCATCATTTTGACAGTCTTTCAAAGCCTATGGAGAGGTGCAAACAAGGATGAGCAGAAGAAGGATGGTGCTGTGGCACTTCTGTTAGCCACACACCTGTTGTCACTGACTTTGTCCAAATTCAACCCAGCCTACAACATTTCCAGTTTTCTTATACCCACCTCTCAAGTTCCACCTGTTTCTGATTCTCGAGCCACATTTAATAGTTTTGGTAAGATTAACCATCATTTTTTCAATGCATTCCTGCTTATTTTCCTTCCCTTCCCTCTCGTGTGAGGAAGAAGTGAGATTCACCCACAAAAAGGTAGGAGAGCAATGATGGTCCTTTCAGGGGACCATGGCCTTGAGTGGGAACCTGAGCTTCATCTTGGGTTTCCCACAGGCCCCTTCACCAGCAACGTGGGACATCAGGCCGCTCTAGAGCAGATAGCCCAATTGCGGGCCATGCTGAATGCCATGCGGGAAGAAGAAAACAGTCTCCGCTCCAACTTGGGCATCTTCAAGATCGAGCAGCCAGTCTCCAAGGACCTGCAGAACCTGGAGAAGGTGGGGTGCTGAGCTAGGCCCTCGTGGTAACCAAGGATGGGGGGCAGGGGACAGGAGAATGAGTCCTACTGGCCTGGAAAAACAGCTGGGAGCAGGAAGCTGGGTGTACGAAGAGCTTCTTTTTAAAAAAAATTTTATTGGGGAACAGCCATGGTCATTGGTTACACATTGCTTTCATGCTACAATGTCATAGTTGACTCTTTT